CCCYGGCTTTAATCGGGGGTTAAGTGGAGGCCAGCGGGACCCACGGCCAGAGCYCTGCTTGGGCTGTGCCCGTGGCTGTGAGCACCATGTCCCTGCTGAACAGCCCCTTCTCGGGGCTCTCTCAGCTCCTCTCCATCCATCCATCCACCTACCCACCCACTGGGAATACTGAAATCATTGCTGCTGCCTCTCCCAGAGGAAATCAAGGCTTCTCCGAGCAGTGGTGGCCACGTGGCCACGGAGTGGGCAGGCTCTGTATCCTCCTGGGCGCTCCGGCTTCCCTGCAAAGCACCATCTGTTCGGCTCTGTCTGCRCCGTGGCAGGGCAGTGGGAGGGGACGCTGGAGGGAAAATAAATAATAAAAAAAAATTCATCATCTGAACCCTGAGGATTAATGGAGTCGGGAGGCGAACTGCGCTGAATGGAAATTCATCTTCACCTGTGCCAGTGTCAGGGCTGCCGCTCCRGCCCTTGACAAATCGAGGATCCCAGGGTGCGATAAATCCAGCAGCTGTGCTCGTCCCCAGGGATGTCCCCAGCCTGCTCAAGGACATGGGCTGTGCCACCTTTCCCTGTGGGCATCAGTTCCCCATCCCCAGAAGCTGCCAGCACAGCTTCCTTGGCACCTCTGGCGTCTGTTTTCTGCAGAGAGATGTGCCCCCTTTCAGCTCAGCCACGCCCACACCCCCACCTGCTTCCTCACAAACCCCTTCCCTCTTTTTATCCCACTTTTTATCTTTTCAATTGTAAACTCAAATCACACATTGTATTTTTTTAATGAGACATTACTGCTTGTCCTTTTGGATCAGTACAAGACTGCAGAGTAATGCAAAAGACACTCTAATTACTAAAGGTGTCAGTCGGTTGCTTTATAAAARCACCCAAAATATGATTAAAACCAATTGCTGCCAATGCAAGAGGAAGCTGCCATCTTCATGGCCTTGTAAGGCAGGTTTTAGTTTCACTAGGGTCTGAGTTTCACAGGCTTAATGGGAATTCCAGGGTCTGGGACTTCTGCTGATGTCAACCAAGTCCAGCTCTTCAGTGTTCAGAGTTTCCCTGATTTTCTTGGTTCTTTTTTTTTAGCATCCTTAGGTAAGACTGTTGCATCCTAGGACAGAGAMGAGTTCAGGTCAAACTTGACTCTATCCTGGCAGAGAAAATCAGGGATGAAAAAACARTTGCTAGTGGAGGTGTGAGACATAAAGTGTATGCCATTGACAGCTGTCCCAGGCCATGGGCACAGTCACCTGGAGCTGATGCTCGGGGAAGTGGTGGCCAGCAGCTATAAAACATTGGAATTTTGTGCAGAGAGAAATGATGGATGAAATCCAGGAGCAAGGCAGTACTGGTGATGTGCTGCCTGCTCCCTGGGGGATTCAGGAGGCAGGTGAGGAGCAAGGGCTTACAGAAATGTTATRGATGATGAATGTGTTGTAAATTGTGGGTACAAAAGCAGGCAGGGGACGCCTTTCCAGGTGGCACTTCGGAGGTCTGCAGTGCTGCAGTAACACTCTGGGACCTTTCCCAGGGTCAGCCTCTAGTCCTGGATGGGAAGGAGCCTCAGCCAAACTGTGCCCAGGCTCCCTGTGCGTCCCAGGTGATGCCGGGCAGACCCCTTGGCTCACAGCGCCTCTGGCTGTGCTGCGGACTCTGGGTGCTGGTTCCATCAATAACGCCCCCTCGGGATTCTGGCTTTGCAGTGCTGTCTCTGTGTCTTTCCTCCTTCCTTTGCACCACTAARTGCAGAGTGATACATGGCGTACGGWGCGCTGCCRCGAGCGATGATGCTCTGCCRCGCCGGGCCAGGTGCTGAGCCGGCRTTTCCTGYCAGCGACAGCCACCGCTCCAAAAACGCCCATCACYGCCACCTTGGGCCAGCATCGCACACTAACCCTTCCCTTTCTCCCTCCAGCTGCCACCTGCGAGTTTTTGGACATCGTGGAGCTGCTGCTGCAGTCGGGAGCGGACCCCGGGCTGCGGGACCAGGAGGGCTGCCTGCCCGAGGAGGTGACGGACTCCAAAGCCATCACTTCAGCTCTGCAGCAGCACGGCACCAGCGAGCCCTGACCCCGCGGGGGGACACAGATTCCCYGCAATAACACTGCTCCCCCCGCTCCCCACTGCCCTCCCCAAATGCCTCGGGGGTTCAAGGGGACCTTTTAAAGCACAGGGTCTGGCTGGGCTCTCCAGCACGRGGGCCAAGCGCATTCCCTGAGCGGGATGGGATCAGAGTTTGGCATGCTCTGACATTTTTCAGTATTTGAGGGGGGAGGGAGTGGGGAGAGGGCCTGGAGGAGGCCCCAAGTACTATTTTAATGTATGAAACACAAGTACTGTGTTGGCTGTCTCACTGGAGCAGCGTGGACTGACCGGTCGGCTCCTCCGTGGGGATGYGGGGCCAGGCGAGATGCTTATCTCTCCCATTCAGGTTGAATTTTGGTTTGTTTTATTTTTTCCCTGGGTCCAAACTAATATAAATAAAAGCACAGTGTTGGGATGGAGCCCAGGTGTGTTTGCTTGGGTTTGTTTTTTGCAAGGGGTGACTTGAAAGCCATAAGGATGGGAGGCAACTCAGTGCAGCCGTGGCCCGTGGGAAGTTCTGCTCGAGCTCTCATCCTGGGGAGGGAGGGCTGCAGAGACAGCAGGGTCATACAGGTRTCTGTCTGTCCCTCTGGTTCTCACACAACATATGCTGCTAATCAGCCTCTCCAAGCTGACAGGACTTTTACCACTTGGCTGGATTGATTTGCTTTAAACCCCACCTCTGTCAGCAGCTCCAGGGCCTCCTGCTGTGTGTCCATCCCTGGAGTGGGGTTTGCTAAGAGCTGGGCACAGATAAACCTGTACCCGCCCTGTCACCCCTGTGGGTCTGTCTCAGACACTTCATGATCTTCTCAGCTGTCCAAGTGCCCAGAAAGTGGGGAAAATGTGCCTCAGGGCCATGCCCGAGTGCTGGAGCGAGGTGGGATGATCTTGGGGTTTAATGCTTCCTCCTCAGCATCCCAGCTGGGCACACGGGAGCTGCCAGGGATGGCTCTGTGCTGTGGGAGAACTCCTGGCTGGGTGGGAGGCTGCTGCACTGCTGGGTGTGTGGCACGAGGAGACAACAGTGTCCCTGCGGGATATTGCCACGAGCTCACTTTTCCCAGATGGGATTTACGGCCTGGGGGAGCGCAGGAAACCTCTATCACTGCGACAGGAAGTGACTTGCCATCGACTTCTGCAGCACATCCAGCCTCAGGAAAATAAATGGGAACATTCCCTTGGCTGAGGACTGCCTGGGCAGCAGGCACATGTGGGTTTTGGCCCCTCACGGTGTCTGTGGCTCCTGCCAGCCTTTGCTGACACAGACCAAGTTGCTGCACCGGCTCCAGCAGCCTCCACACAATACACGGCACAGGCCAAGCTTTGTGGTGGGGACAAAATGGTTCAGGCAAGTTATTTTCCATGAAATTCATATTAAGCAAGGGACTCCTAATGGCTTCTGGTCCCCTTGCCCCTACCCAGGGGACCTGCAGGGTGGCAATGGCCAGGCTCATCCCAGCCTGGTGCTTTTGCATCTGGATGCAAATGAAGCAAAGATCCCAACCCCAGCACTGGGGTCACACGGGCTTTCTGAGGGAGATGTGGTGGCACCAAGGTTGGGGACAAGCAAGGCCACTCCTGTGCAGTGCCATAATGCACAGCCRCTGCCTGGCTTGATGGACACGCTGGGTAATAAAAAATCTCAGTTAAAGCTGGGATGAAAAGCAGCAGCCGCGGTGCCGGTGCTTTCAGAGAGCACATTTGGGGCCCGAGCGCTCAGCCCGGGAGATGTTTATAGCACTTTAGGTCTGTTTGTGAGGTTGGAGCCTTTCCAAAAAAAAAGAAAGCGGGGGTGGGGGGGGGAGGAGAGAAAGACATATATTATTGTTTATAATCTGCTTTATTCAGCCAAACCTTTCCCCAGCAGCCTTGCGGATTGCTGTTAAATCCCTCGGTGCCTTTAACTACCGATACAGAAAGTGGTTAATGTGCATTCGCCCTAAGCTTGGCATCTACTCCAGGAAATCACTTTAATTGAGAAGCATTAAATGTTAAAATGATTAAAATATAGAAAGCCAACACACCGGTGCCCATGGAGGGGCTTGGACCCGCCCCCCTCTCCTGCCTGGCAYGGCCCTTCCATCTCACCTGTGCCACTGCTGCGTGGTGGCACCAACGCTGTGGCACCTTGGGATGCCAGGTGGCAGCGRTGGAGATTCCCACCCCAGACCCACTGACCTCTCTGTGCCAGCAGAAAGCTAGGGCATGATGTCCCAGCCTGGGCTGCCAGCTCCACCAGCCAGACACGACCCCGGGGATCCCGACCCCAAACAGCTGACAGTGCCAGGGCAGGCTATGCCAATGGTGCCTTCCCACTGAGGAAGAAAATCCCACAGACAGCAGCTGCTAAAGAGCATCCCGAGTTTATTTGCCATCGCTTTCCCTCACAGCAGAGGGGTCACTGTACACATCTCATGCCAACACACCGGAGGCAGGGTACAAAAGCAATGCCCTGGGCCCGAATTCGGGGGCAGTTTGGGGGGGATCATTTCTCCCCAAGACATGGCAATAAATAAGGTTTTATTCTTTAAATTTTTTTTATTATTATTTTTGTTGGGTTTTTCTTTTTTTTCCTTTTTATTCCCCCAGGAAACGAGACTSTCACTTTCTGGAACTGTACAAAATTTACACAGCGAGGGGAGGAGGCATTTGGCCTTGTCGAAGGGGGATGGAGAGCAGCAGGCTCGGCTCTCCCACATCCCCCTCCCCACCAGTGCCGGCAGGGCCGGGAACTTGGCACAAAGCAGCACCCAAGGCTGGGGAGGGGGGAGGCACATGGATGCAGCTGGGGCAGCTCCTGCAGCACCGATGCACCCAGCTGGGGGGGCAAGGAAGGACAAGGACAGACCAGTGATGTGCTTTCTCGTGTGGCTTTTTTTTTAATTTTTATTCTTTTTTTTTTTCCCTTTGCTTACGCAGCGTCCACACCTCTGGAAGGAGCCAACTAACTGGATCCACCCCTTGAAGGGCGGGCTGGGATCATCAGCATCACCCCAGAGAAGAGGGGGTGGCAGGGACTCCCTGGCCAGGGCATCCCTGTGGGGTTGGGGCAGAGCTGAGCATACTGGCCAGAGAGCGTGGAGCTGGATCTCATCCATGGGGCTGAATGTCTGAGCGTGGGGGTGTGGCTGTGCTGGGGAATGTGGGTTTTGAGCAAGGGCTAGTGCTGCGTGGGCCTGGCCAGGAGCAGACCCCACGGGGCTTGTGGGATGTGCCAAAGGATCCCTCCTGGCTGCTTGCACTCACCCTTTAGTGCCTRAAGGAGGTGTGTGATCTATCCCAGGAACATCTCACAGCCCGATCCCCTCCCTTCCCCACCACACAGGTGCTTCTGCAGCTGACAAAATACCCTTTTCCCCCTGTTTTGGAGGATTTCTTTGCAATACCCCCAGGGCAAACGTTGCCCACCTGTCTCAGCCCCGCTTGCAAGGGCTGCTCTGCAGGTGCCAGCCCCGAGCGTCTCAGCTGGCCCTGCCATGGCACAGCTTGGCCAGMGGGCATCCCGGGCTGGAGGCAATTTTTATTAATTCCTCCCTCTCGCGTGACCACGGTACAAAGCAGTGATGCTCCTGCGTGCCCAGGGATCAATCATGGCCACTCGGCCCGGAGCAGGCAGGATCGGCCCCGGCAGCACCGCCCTGGGCAGCGCGGCACTGGCCCCGCTCGGACGTGTCCCCGGCAAAATAAACCCTTCTACAATATAGACTTCTCTTTCCGCTGAGGCTCCGGGCAGCGCCGAGTTGCGTTTCAACTCCGTATCGAAAAATAACTCTTGAAAATAGCAGCGGTGCTCGGCAGGGGGGTGCAGGGCTGGCGCGGGTGCCGGGATGGGCTCTGCCATCCCTGATTGTCCTTCTTCCCCTCCCGCCGGCCTCGCCCCGGCCGGGTCCCCAGCGCCGCCGCCTCTCTTGTGCTTACACCCAAAGGCATCCGTGCCCCCCGCCCGAGCACAGCCACCCCCAGCCATCGCCAGTGCTGTCCCCCCTCCCTCCAGCCCTCCAGGGCCAATTCCCAWGGGAAATCCTGGAAAGGTCAACCGCCGGCGGGTGCCCTCAGTGCTGCGCTTGCGGGCTGGGGGAGCGCGGGGGGCGGGGGGCGAGCAGCGCTTAGAAAGGGGGGTGATCCATGTCGTCCAGCCAGGAGGCCGGGCTGGTGGGAAAGTCTGGGTACCCGACGCTGCTCCCCGTGGAGATGTCGGAGGTGGGGCCCCCCCCGGCCATGGCCCGCAGCGTCTGACTCACCCCCTGCGCCCCGTGGGCCACCAGCCCCAGGCTGCCGTCCATGGCGTAGTCCAGCCCGTTGAGCAAGGGCGGGTGGGCCGGCAGCGACGAGATGGAGGACGGCGACTGCGGGAGGCCGTAGGGGCTGCCGTCCCGCAAGTCCTGGTACGTCTGTCCCGTGCCCTCCATGGAGAAGCCGCCGTTCAGCAATTGTCCGCCCGCCGCGTCCCCCACGGAGCCGTACACCCTGTTGTTGTGGCCGAGCTCGGAGAGGATCTGGTCTTCTGCCGGGGAGAGGAGGGAGAGCGGAGGCGGGGGTTCAGCGCGGGGGGGAGCCCCGCGTTCCCCCGGCCCCGCTMGGGCGCAGTGCTCACCGCGGAAGCTGAGCTCGCTGTCGCTGACGCCGCAGTCCTCGGCCGAGCTCTCCTTCTCCAGCTTCCCCCCGCCGCGGCTCCGCTTCACGCTCTTGTAGAACTGCCCCCAGCGATGCCGCCCCGCGTCCTTCTTSAGCCGCTTCTCCTTGGCCCGCCGGTTCTGGAACCACACCTGGAGCGGCAAYGGGGACCTCGGTGGCACCAGGGCACCCGGCATGGCAGCACCCCTGTATGCCAGCGCCTCTACAKCCCAGCACCCGTGAAACCAGCGCTCCAGCACCCTGCCAGCCCTGCATCCCAGAGTGCCGGCACCTCGGCATGCCAGCATTGCCACAGCAGCATCCTGGTAACCAACACCCACACACCCCAGCACCCCGAATGCCTGCAAACCTGCGTGCCAGCACTCCTCCCCCCAGCTCCCACACCCCCACGCAATCCAGCACCCCATCCCTCYCGGCAGCCCAGCTTCCAGGCACCCAGGTCACCCCAATACCCCAATACCCCTGCAGCCCCGCACCCAGGCATGCCGGAGGGAAGCTTTGAGCCGCATTTCCCTCCGGGCAGAGCGGAGAGGGGCCCCGCGGCCTCACCTGCACCACYCTCATGTCCAGCCCCGTCTCGGAGGAGAGCTGCTCCCGCACATGCCGGGCGGGCTTGGGGGAGTTTTTGTAGGCGTTCTTCAGCGTCTCCAGCTGCTTGGCCGTGATCGTGGTCCGGGGCCGCTTCGCGCCCGCCTCGGAGTCATCTGCAAGCGAAGCAGCCGGTAGCATCCCCGACCACACTGGGGAATAACTCCGCAAATCCGGCTGTTCCAGAGCCCGCAGCGACACCTTCCCACAGCGACACGAGCCGCGGCCACCCCTCACAGCGTTTTTGGGGTGCCTACCGTTCTGCTTGGCAGTCTCGTAGTCCTCCTTGCAGACCAGCCGCCCGTCCTCCATCAGGTAGAACTCGTCGCCCGTGGCCAGCTGCCGGCTGCAGATGATGCAGGCGAAGCAGTGCAGGTGGTACACGAAGTCCTGGGCTTTGCGGACCACCTGGGTCGGGGGGATGCCCTGCTGGCACGCCGTGCATTTGGTCCCGAAACGCCTGCGAGGAGAAGCGGGAGCCCCTGAGCCCCCCGGCAAGGTGGGGTTTGCCGGGACGGGGACCGGGAGACAGGGCAGAGTTTAAACCAGCAATCAACCTTATTATGCATGACACTTCACACGGCGGGGGTTTATCTTCCTCAGAGTGAGAGACCGGCCTAATGGAGCCGAGGAAGGTTTGATTTTAATGATTCTTTTAACTAATGCTTATAGGCTGCCTGATTTTCCCCTGCAAGGACAGTACATATTTCATCCACATTAATACCAAATAAATTAATTACGCCGCCCCGCTGGCATGATGAATCCCAGATTAATGCAGAATGATGGGGCTCTTACACCATAACGACGGCCTGACAGGGCTGTGGGGTGGGCTGGTGTGGGGCACAAGCAGCTGCAGGGAGTGTGCGAGGGACGTGGGAGAAGTGTGGCAGCAGCGTGCAAAGAGGGGGTAAGAACGGGAAAAGGAGTGTGGGAGGAGCATGCAAGAATGGTGCAAGGAATGTGGGAGCAGCAGGAAAGAAGTGTGCAAGAATGGTACAAGAATGGTACAAGAATGGCGCAAGAAGTGTGGAAGGTGCAGGCAATGAGTGTGCAAGAAGTGTGGAAGGTGCACGCAGGGAACGTGCAAGAATGGTGCAGAAAGTGTGCAAGGAGAGAACTCACAGGATTCACAGCACAAGGGTGACCCACGCCGTGAGAAGAAAGTCAAAAGTGAGTGGGCGTTGCAGGGTGATTTGGGCAGCAGATGCTTTGGGGCTGACGTGGGGCAGATCCCCCCCGCTACCGCTGGCACTGCAAAGGCGCTGCGGGATCTCCTGTCCTCCCCTAAACACCCCATCAACACGGCCCGGGACACCACAGAGCCATCTGCTGCTGCAGCACCCCGGGTGACAAAGCTCTCAGGATAAATCTGTCCCCTCCACCTTAACCAGCTCCATCTGCTTTGAAGGAGGCAGCCCAGGAGCACCCGAGCCCTTCGGCCCCCAGCCCCAAGGCTTTGGGGGCAGGCAGTGGCGTACAGAAGTGCCCACCCCAGGCACCTCTCACTGTTCCCAGAGGCCTGAACATGCCCCAGTCGTGCAAAATCACCCTCAAGCACCGTGGCTACCCATCCCCTCCATAAATCCAGGGCACAGCCACCAAAGCTGGGTCTCTGAGATGCCCCCGAGTCACACAGGTGTCACCCAGGGATGGGTGGCAGGCACCGGGTGTGAGTGGCACCAGCACAGTTTCGGGGTGTTGGAAGCAGAAGGTGAGAAGGGATAACCCGGTTTGTCTCATTTTCTGGGTTTGTGTCCTAAAGGGAGAGCCCCTGGACTCTGCTGGGGAGATCTCAGCTCTCCTGGGGTCAGCGGAAGGAAGGGAGGAGTGGGAGAGGGATGGATAGGAGATGGACAAGTGAGAGGGAGGGAGGATGAAGGAACGATAGAATGGAGGATAAAGGGAGGGATGAGGTGGTGGGAAYGGAGGGAAGGAGGGAGGCAGGCATGAGAGAGGGATAGGATGGACAGAGGATGATTTTCTGCCCCCAGGGCCCACTCTGCAGCTCCCACCCACTGCCCACCCACCTCCTCTCCCAGAGCACCACAGAAGCCATATTAACAACTGTCCCAACATCCCGGGGTGTTTCCACAGCACGTGGGGACAGAGCACCCAGCACAGAGCCACCCACAGCCACGGACCAAGAGCTGCAATTTGGGGGAAGGAAAAAAAAAAAGAAGACAAAAATCAAAAATCGATCTGATCCYTTCCAAAGCAGCTCCTGCGCTGCCAAGTGCCTCTGAAGTTGAGCTGAAATCCTCACGTCCCCTGCAGGTTCCCCACCCCGAGATCAATGAGCGGTTAAGGAAAGGTGAGGCGTGAGCGCCGAGCTGCTATTGATTGGCACCAAATAATCCAGGCAGGACCTCATCTGAGAAAGTCGCTGATCTTTCAACTCCAATTAACATTGATTACCCGCACCTTTTGGGCGACTATTTAAATGACTTGGAGATTAATAGGCTGGAAAATATCAGAAGTGAAGTGTTATTACCCAGGCTGGAGTGGCGGCTTTGACCGTCTCTGGGAAGGAGAAATTCAAGCTGCATCTTTGGTCCTGATGCCTGGTGAGGCTGATGAAGATGAAGAGACCCTGGGGATGGGAAGGCAGGGGAAGTCCTGTCTAGGGACTGATCGCAATGGCTGTGAGCTGGTGGGGAGAGGTGGTGGGGACAGCCCTGAGCAGCAGGGGATGGCCTGAGGAGGTGGCTTTATCCCCAAGGGGCATTTTTGGCTGAGTCTCCTGCATCCAAGCAGTGAAAGGCACCCACCGGCCAGGATCCAACCCCTCTGCTTCACAGGGATTCACTGCCAGCACCAGTCCCAGCAAAAATCCCTCTGCTATCCCTTGGGAAAACTCCCAGATTTCAGCGGCAGCCAGGGAGCAGGGCATCCTCACGGCAAAGCCCTTTTTTAACGGGGAACGGGCTGTCCTGTCCTATGGGAGCAGGGAAATGCCAAGGCTGGGGCATCGCGCAGTTCAGAGGCAGCTGCCAACGCAGTCAAATGAGGCTTTCACGCTAATGGGAGCAAAAAAAAAAAAAAAAAAAAAAAAAAAAAAAAAAAAAAAAAAAAAAAAAAAAAAAAAAAAAAAAAAAAAAAAAAAAAAAAAGAGGTAAAAGGTGAAGGGAGAGAAACAGCATCAGCAAATCCCGAGGAGGCGAGTGAGGAGGAGCAGGCAGCGATAACGCTGCCTTGTGCGGCTTTCTCCTGCCCTCTAGCTCCGAGCGGAGCCGGGGCCACCGGACCCGCCGCAGGTTGTCATCCCGGGACCCTGAACAGCAGCGCAGGAAGGGACAGGAGCACCGGGGACATTTGGGGCTTTCCGATGGTTAAATCCCAACAAACAGCATCCAGCCTGCGGCAGCTGTAAAGCACCGACATTCCCTCCGTTTCCACAACAACAACAGCAACAAAAAGAAATTGTAGGATGATCTTGGAGAAATTCTGCTTGAAATTAGACTGTGGGTTTGCTCCGCGGGCAGGGAGACGCTGCTGTGGCAGGGCTGAGCCCCGAGGGATACTCACTTGAAGAAATCCTCCTTGCAGTAGACGCTGCCGGCCCGGGAGAAGCAGCGCTCGGCCAGCTGCATCTGGCAGTCGGCGCACTTGAGGCAGGAGCTGTGCCAGTGCCGGTCCAGGACCTTGAGGATGAACTTGTCCAGGATGTGCTGGTTGCAGCCGGCGCACTGGGGGATCTCTGGGCAGGGGGAGAGGGATGGAAAGAGCAGTGTCAGCCACCTGAGGCTCACACCTGGCTGGCAAAGCCCTGCACGGGCACGTCCTGGGGCTTTGTGGGGTCAGGAGTGCCACCCCTCAACTCCTCAGTGTCCCGGCACATCTTCCTGTGCCCAAAGCCGCTGGGACAGCCGAGCCCACGGCCCCGCCGGCTGCTCTGGACACGGACACACACATGGGATGCTTTTCCCTTCTGCACCCCGTGTTTCAGGCCGTGTCCTGCTCTCCGGCACAGGATTCCCTGGCTCCCTCTGGCTCCCCTGGAATGGCATCCCACAGCCATCAAGGCTCGTTTCTCCACACGGTCACCCCGTCCCCCAAGGGCCAGGCTGTTGGGGTGACCCAGGGGTCACCCGTGGGGTCCCAGGGGTGCAGGGCACCAGCACCTCCACCCACCCGTTTTCCAGCACGGGCAAATATCCCTTCTCATCTGCATCCCGAGGGCCACSAGCCACCCGTGCTGGCCACACCGGCCCCTCCAGCGGGTCCCCGTGCCCCTCTCCCTGCAGTGCCCGGCCTCAGGTGCCTTTGCATCCCCCACAGTCCAACCCCCTCGGACCCTGCTTTTATTGCGGCAGGGACAGCAGGTTCCTCCTGCTTTCTGTCCCATCCAGGCTACAGAATCCATCCCTGGATCCGGCTGGAAAACCTGGGCTAGAGCAAGGGCTGGAGCAAAGCAGCAACAGCCAGGAATACCAGGGAATGTCCCACCCCATCCAGCCTGATCTACATCCAGCTGGAGGAAGAAGCTTGGAAAAGATTTTTTTTTCTGCAGCAAGATGCATCCCTGTCCATCCAGATCCCTGCACAATGTCTGCCTGTGGATGTACAGATTCCACAGGTCTGGAGAGATGAGGGTTGCTTGGAATAAATGGGAGGCACGGTCAGAGTCTGCAGGAGCAGACTGCCCGGTAACCAGGCACATCACACTGACCCACACTCGTRGAAAAAGATGGATTTGGGGAGGAAAAATGTTTAAAAATATAAAATATTTTAAAAACAAACAAACAAACAAACAAAAAAGAACAGGGAAAGAAAATTTTTAAAAAGAAGAAAAAATTAAAATGGAAAAACATTAAAAAGGAAAAAGACGAAAAAAGAAAAAACACAAAAAAAGGAAAAATATGAAAAAGGAAAAATGTTAAGAAAAACGAAAAATATTTTGAAAGAAAAAATATAAGGAAAAAGGTAAAAGATTAAGAAAAAGGGAAAATGTATTTAAAAAGGAAAAATATGTAGAACGAGAAAGGTTTTTGAAAAAGAAAAATCTAAGAAACAGATAAAAAATGAAGAAGATTAAAAAGATATAAAGGGAAAAAAAWTTAAAAGAAAAATATTTTAGAAGAAAAAATAGCAAGAAGGAAAAAACATTCTAAAAAAGGAAGAGGAAGGAAAGATTGGAAAAGGCAATAGGAAAAAGGAAAATAGTAGAAAAAAAGAAAAACAAAAATATGAGAAACAAATAAACGTGAGAGAAGAGAGGAAAGGAATGGAATGGTACAAATAAGGAAAGGAGAAAAGAAGAAAAAGGGGGGAAAGAGAGGAAAAGGGGAAAGGGAGAGAAAGAGGAGAAAGGGAAAGAAAGAGGAAGAAAAGGAAGAAAAAGAGGGAAAATAGAAAAGAAGGGCGGGTGGTAGAGGAATGAATGGGGAAAGGAGGAAATAAAGGAGGGGAAAGGAGGAAAACAGCACAGAAAAAAACCCATATTGTTACATTCTCAAACAGCATTATTTCAAAATCCTTTGGGGTCCTGCCACGTACCTCACGTGAAGGGARCTCATTCCATCATTCCCAGGTTGGACAGTTCCAGTCCCAGTGCCCTTCCGAGCACAGTTATTGCTGGTATTTAAGCCTCTGTCGCGTTAATGACCATACAACACATTTTTAAAAAAAAAAAAACCCTACAACTTCTCTAGGTCCCTCTTTCCCTTCTTGTTTTGGGATCACCTGGATGCTTCGCTGCCCTCCCTCCACCACTGCGGCCGCAGGTCGGCACCAGCCGCGCTCTCCACGCTGCATTTGTTGCACCCATTTGAGAGCAAAGCCGCTGGCACCGGCGGTGGCACAGCACGGTACCAGCCCCGGGAAATCCTTCCCGGCTGTTTCACAAACGCGTAAGCACCTCCAGGAAACGGGTTTGATATCAAAATGGTTATTTATGTAAACACGTGTGTATTTATACGCACCCATCCTACACATATATGCACCCTCACAAGCCAAAACACAGCTTTGCCTTTCCTAAAAGCAGCAACACAGCTCAATTTCAACAAGCAAAAAACTGCAGCCGGGAATACATTATCTCCCTTCAAAATTCCAAGAAAATAATTGTTTTTAAAGAGAAGACCGATTTTCCTTCCAATTTCGCTGTAGATGTATGGCATCAACCCCA